TAGCCAGAAATTAATTAATTTCCATTCACTAGTTAGTATAATCAAAATTAACAGATGCATTTTCGCTCACATAACCACTCCGCAACAACCTCCCTCACACATACCAAAAATAGCTTCTCAAAAGTTGATCGCCTTTAATAATTCAAAGTATCCTCACTGCTGATAGCGGAATTTCGGATAGCATAGCATCCAACACCCCTTCTGAGTGAGAAACAGGCGAGAACACATTACCAATATCCTACTAGAAAGAATGCAAGTTAATTAATTCATATTCTGGTCTTTTTGTGTTTCATTGTATCTTATTTCATATATCCATTTTCAACTTTTATTTCCTTAATTTTGCAAAGATTGAAATTAATTGAAATCTCTCCAACAAAAATCCTTGCTTTTCTGTATCCAGAATTAGCCGATGAACCATTACATTGTATTTAAATTTTAATTATTATAGTTGACCCAAAAATTCTGGCTCTTCCCCAAAGCAAGGAAAACAATAAATTCTAATGAGAAACATTAGAAGAATCATAAATAAAGAGAATTCTATCCCTTTAAAAGAAATGAAAATGAAAGTGAAAAAAACAAACAAAAATTTTTTTTAAATTTAAATGTTAACCTTTAAACAGAAAATCGAACAATCTTTAAACAAAAAATGAATTAAAATGTAGTTGAAAAACCTATTTAGAGCAAGCAAAACGAAATTAAGAACTCCCTAAACTCTCATTAGACTACAGTCTAAATTTGAGAGGCAATACAGAATGGTAGGTACATTTTTGCCATCTTGGTTTCATTGGCAAAACTAAAAAACTTTAGCAAGAAATTAATCGCACAAAAGGCTAAAATCTTGTATGTAAACAGATAATCCCTTTAATCAACCTTTTTAATACCTTTAATCAGATTAAAACAGATTATTAATTATAAATTTCAGTTTCTGGTCTTTGTGAAATATTAGTTCTAAATTTCTTTATATATATACTGAATGAACCAGGCATGAAAGTGCAAGTTAGCAAAAAAAGCTGAACAATGCATGGACACAAAATTACACAAAAACTAAATGCGCATGCACGACCTAAAAAAAACACATTTTAATAATATATCAACCTTTTAATATAAAAAGTATTAAACATATACACGTAATTAAACTAAAATAATACGTGTACCTACTATTTTGCTATTAATTTTATCTTCCATTTGTAAAAAAAAAAAAAAAAAAAAAAAAAATCAGTAAATTACCAAGAGATTGTAATGAATTAACCATCTTTAAGATGCTCTTTATGTAACTTAATTTAACAGTTGATACATGAATACTGTACACAACATTACAACACACTAATATACATATTTATGTTATAGTATATTACTGCCCATTTCCAGAGAATGACAAGTTTTAGAAATAATATATATATATAACTGTTACTATAGCTTTCAATTATCTTCACTTTTAGTTCAATAAACAGTACTTTATATAACACCAGAAAAAGTAGTCATGTGAGATCATATAGTTACAAAATAACATAACATCTAGTTAAAGGAGGAATTTAAAAAATAACTATTTGTCTGTCTCACTCCATCCTGATTAAAAATTTTTAGGGAAAAGGCTTTTTCTTTTTTGATACTTTTGAAGCCAACTTTTCTAATTTCCGTTTGCGAGCTAGTTTTAATTTCTTTTCAGCAGCTTTTATACAATCCATTGATACTTTTTATTTTCTTCTTTATTTTCGGCAATGTTTAATTGCTTTTTTTTTTTTAGATTCTCGCTCCTCCTTTTTTATCTCTAGCTCTTCTTTATACAGTTTATGAGCATTCCTTAAATTTTTACATAGAGTTTTGTGTAGTGGAGAATGCTAGTGGTTATCCGTATGTCCGACAGATGGCGCCAGCACCGATCGCTGAAATTATTAAGTCAACTCTCGTTTGACGGTTGCTTGCTCATCTTTGATTCGATATTTGTATGCATCTAGTTCCGCCTTTCCACATAAGCCCCATCTACTTTGCCTTGATGTAAAACAACGTATTTCACGATCTGTGGCATGATGTAAAGTTTTTTACAAAGAAAAGAGGGAGAGAGCGTGTCCTCCGTTTAAAACCCCCCCCCACACACACACACATTTGCCCCCCACACATTTGCCGGTCGCGATTTCTCAACGGTTCTACATCGATCTCAGAAACAGCCCGGCCGACGTTCAAAAAAGCGGAATTCTGCGAAAACGCGGAAAACTTTCATGCCTGATGAACTGAAATTCATTATATTGAATAAACTGAAATTCATTGTGTATATATATATATTTTTTAAAAAATTGTTTAGTTTAATTTTAATTTGCTAAATTAGTAATTTATTTTCATGGATTAGTTTTGCAGTTGATTTGCTTATGCTTCTGAATTTAAATGATATTGTAGATTAGTTCAAAATTAAATCTTTATATGTTTCGCACTTTTTTTAAATTTTTTAAAAATTATTTTGGCTTTTTTTTCTTTATTTTGGCTTTAAATTTGCTTTTTTACTTTTATATGTGTTTGTTAAAATTTAAATTTAAATTTGTTAAATATATATATATATATACACAGTGGAACATCGGGATACAAGTTTAATTCGTTCCAGCATTGAGCTCGTACAGCGAATTTCTCATACCTAGAAACAAACTTCTTAATTGAAAATAATGGAATCCATTCCACAACCCCCAAAATATGAACTTTTCTAATAAAAATTACTGGTAAATAATATACCCGTAGTTTACCTGTGTGATAGCTTCCGACATCGACTTTTTAACTGCTTCTCGTTAATTCACACCAACAACAGCTTCTCAACATCTTCTAGGAGTTTGGACAGTACTTGGAAGTAACGGTACCTCCTTTGGCTACATCAAGTTTCTTAATTTCTTCTCGCTTCTTCAGAATAGTGCAAATCGTCGATGTTGAAAGACCTTAAGTTTTTGCCAATGCTGTCACTCTTATAACACGCTTGTTTATCTATTATTTTCACGCCCATGGCTTCCTTATTTTTCTTTATAGCACTATCTGAGGCAATCTTCTTGAAAGACATTGTGAAATAATTATTTTCACATTAAATGCAATAAACAATTGACACACAAGTGGACAAACACATAGATAAAAAAATACCGAGTGATCTGACGAGGGGTTCCTCGAGTCGAGCTTGGATCGGGAAATCGCACCACGCATACCAACAGCCTGGTTCATTGCTCATTATTCGAGTAAATGCTGTATTTAGAGACATATTTTTCACTCGTACTTTCCTTGTATCTCGAATATAGAGGTGGTTGTATCTCGAGATTCCACTGTATATAAAAATCTGAAAGCTTTCAGATTTTACATTATGCCCAAAGGGGTGTTTTTTTAAACATTTTGTGTTTTACCTTTATTTATTAAATATCATGTTCTTCACACATCACAAAATAATTTTTAAATGAGCAAATCTTTAGAATTTCCGTTACACAGTCTTGCTTGCGGGAGATACAAATGTTTTTTTTTTTTTTTTACAGTGTTGCTATTGCTTACTTTTAAATCAAAAATTTCAGTTTATTAATCAAAAATTTGTTAAGTTTTACAAATATGAAATAGATACGAAAACAAATTTCAAATTCAGGCTTCCAGGTGACCATATTCGGGTGGAAATGTACGTTATTCAAAATCTGATGGCTCTAGGTACCATTGTTTCACAATGCGAGGAACATACACTTATACAGGTTCTTCATCATTTAATTTCTTTAAATATAATACAGGGCTCTAATATTTGGTGGCAATAATTTGAAAAGTGAACCAACATTTCAATGCAAAATGCCAAAACGAAATTAATAGTCATTCTGGGCAAACTGCACTTTTAAATTAAAAAAAAAAAAAAAAAAAAAAAAAAAACCAAAAGGTTTCAGATTTTACATTACGCCCAAAGGGGACTTTTTTTTTTTATGTTTCATGCGTTCCCTTTATTTATTAAATATCATGTTTGAACTTAAACCATAAAATTCAGTTCAACAGCAATATCGCAAAATAATTTTAAAATGAGCATGTCTAGAATTTCTAATATACTCAATGGAGTTTTTTTTTTTTTTTTTTTTTTTTTTTTTAATATTTATTTTCTATACAGTGTTGCCATTGCTTGCTTTGAAATTGTTGAGTTTGTTAATCAAAAATTCGCTAAAGTGTTACAAAATACGAAATTGATATTGAAACAGGAGTTTGTTTCAGTATCAATTTCTTCTTCTAGATGCCCATATTCGTAGAAAGATTACGTTATTAAAATCCTATGGCCCAGGTACTGTTGTTTTATCATAATGCAAGGAACTTACATACATTTATGCAGAATCTTCATTATTTTTTAATTTTTTTAAATATAACACAGGGCGATAATATTTGGTGGCAACAATTTGAAAAGTGAACACAAGTTTTCAACACAAAATGCCAAAACAAAATTAATAGTCCTTCTGGGCAAGTTGCCCCTTCGGAAAAACTTAAGCAGGATGAAAACAGTATGTGCTTCAATAAATTAACTGCCAAGGCAGAAAACATTCGATTGCTACCTGTCAACTAAAAATAAACAGGTGCTGAAGTAGAATAGATGCATGCACAGTATTCTGTTATCCAGAAAATGCATTTTACAATCAATTTTTTAAATTATTTAAGAACTGATTTTATTTATTGAAAAAAAAAATCTAAATATTTTCAACAAACAAATAACAAATTTCTGTTGTTTATTTAAATACAGCAAACTCACACTAAAAATAAGTTTATTAAACAATATGCGATACACTAGTACACCTTATTCCTGTAACCGACATTAAGATCAGATATACTTCATATTACTAATTCTGTAATAAACTAATTTAAAGCATTTTTCATGTTTTAGTTTTTCCTTCATTATTCTACTTCTGTATCAAAATTTATGTATATATTAATTGTTAATATCTGAATTTGATGCAATAAACATATGTTTAATTTATGTTCAGCAGTTAAAAATTAATTAATACTTTTATTTCAGTATGAAGAATACTTACGCTTCAAGACATATGCAAGGTATAGTCCACTTAAATGAATGCTTATCAATTTCCCATAGTAATATTTTTCTTCCCATCCATAATCCACCATATGTTCAACAATAATCTGTGAAGATGCAAGAAACAGTTAAATATAAAACATTTATAACATCCAAATAGAAACGGAAAGCAATATTAAAAAGCTAAGAAAAGGTGCAGTAATCAAGTGGATAAGACTACCAAGTACTAAAAATATTTCCCAGGTTCTGTTTTCTCATGCATGAGAAGAATGATAGCCAATTTCTCTTTTAACAGTCCTTTACTGCACATGGTACTATACAGAAACGGTTTTCTGCCATCCAGATCAAAAGCAATTTTTCAACATACTCGAACATTTTTTTATCTTTGTTTGGCAACCAATTTTACTCTCTTCACAATGTTAGCCTGTTTTACAGCATCTTTGTTTTTCACAACTCCAGACAATATTCAACCCAGCATATGAAATGCAACAGCTAAGCTCTGGATAACCACGCCATCTCCATACTTTCAATAATATTTTTTTTCATCTCCATGATGATCCTAACAATTTTCTTCATTGCTTGACTCATCAACTTTTCTAAAATTCAGAGTTAATAGTTGCAGTTGTTTATTGAATAGTAACAATATAATTACTCACACTCATAGGCAGTTGTGGAATTGTCTCAAAACAAGTAAACAAAAAAGTGTGCATAATTATAATTCATAAAACTTGAGTCTTATTTCAAACAAATATCCATTAACAATTTTTTTATCTAGACAGTTAATATTTCATAATAGTTAATTAATAAGTAACATGCACTGAGGTATCATTGTATACAGTAACGACCTTTATTTATTATTTATACAGTGTAATTATTCTGTATAGTATGATTATTAAACTTCTCTCCCTCATTCTGCAACTTCATTTAGCAAAATATCTATCCATGAGACCAGGGGTGTGGAGTTGGTACAGAAAATGACTGACGGCGACACCTGGAATTATAAAGACTCTGACTCCCTCATATGCATGTAAACATATATACATGGGCCTGTCTACACGAAGCGATTTTCTCGGCAGACTTTCTCGTAGAGCAACAATTTTAAGGATCTGCGCATGCGCCAAAAATCAGTCATGTTCTCTGCCGCGATTTCAGAATTGGTGTTCACTGCTCACTAGCGTACGATAAAATCGGAGTCTCTAGCCAATAAGATTGCTTTGAATGATCACATGCTTTTCTCCTCATTTAGAATAATAAACATGGCTGCATTCCGTTGGAGCGAAACTCAAATTTTTGAACTAATAGATTTCTATAGAGAAAATGTTGTGCTGTGGGACACGAGTAATATTAATTTTAAAATAAAAAATTAAGGGATTCTCTTATTTTGGTAAGCTTTTTCTTCCCCATTACTTTTATATTCAAATATTTTCTATTCGGGTGAAAATTATTTTAACCCCAAGAAAAGTTCCAAAAGCTATTAATGACACCATGTCATGAGTACTAGATAAATTACGGGCCGATTTAAAGGAACGCAAAGATTCATTGACTTCGCCAAAAATGGGCGTTAATCAGGCGACAAGTACATAGCTTTTCCGAGATATCTTACACGAGTGATCATAGCCCAGTGGTAAGGAGCAGAGCAGGCTTTCTTCGTACATCGAGATCGTGGGTTCAATCCCCCACATTAATTATGGACTTTTTGCGCCTGGAAAACTTTTAATTTAGTTTCTCCATCACTAAATTTTTGCCTGCCAAAAGTGTTTTAGGAGGTCAAAAGTCGGGTTAAAGTGTATAGATTGTTTAACGCCTTCCACTGCATGCCTTAAAAGTCGCTTTTTATTTTTTCGCCTATGGGTGCGGTGTTTATTGAATTTTAACGCCTTTCTTTTTATTTTTCGAATGGCCGTTATCACGTGTTTTAGATCTACTGGTCAAAAGAAAGTCACAAACTCAGTTTTCGAAAAGGATGATAGAGACTCAATTGCAATGTCTGTAGTTTGATTGTCCTGATTTGAATACTCCAATTGTTCTAAGAATAATTTCATTCTTAATGAAAGTTCATAGATGGCTTTCTTTGCCTTTTTAATTTGTTCGTCATCCAACAAAATTCGGCGTTTAGGATCTACATATATTGAACCCAGCAAGATCTCATTGTCTAGCAAACTAGCTTCTTTTTTCTTCATTGAAGAAATGATTCCTTCTGCAATAAACTCTCCATTTCAGAAAGAACAAACATTACATTCTTCCATTCTCGCCTCCTGTTAATTCTTCAGATTATAGCTTATTTGTGGCTATATATGGCGTAGAAAAAGAGTTTCCAATTGTGCAAAATCATTCCATAGTCTTTCTGTTAGTGACACATTAGGGTTATATACATGTTCTAAAAGAGTTCTTAAGTCTAACAACTTCCATATCATTGAATATGTACTTTCCTATCGCTTTGCTTGATCAATAATAGCTCCTTTTCCTGTTCACTTCCTGAGAATGACATCAATTTTGGGAGTTCTTGCTGCTATTGCTGCTTACCTAAATTACCGATGAGATTTGTAACTAATTGAATCAGTTTAATCAATAATGGCAAATATCACATCCATCCTGTTCCCTTATATTTATTTATTAATATGTCAATAAAATAGAAAATAATTATTTATAAATGTATGTAGTCCATGAATAAAAATGTTAACTCAGTTTGTCATTAATTTTTTTTTTCAATTCACTTTAATTTTATTTCAAATTCCAACTGTCCAACAAAAACTGGAGTCGGAGTCAACGTGTTTTTAGCGACTCCAGCTCCGACTCCTTTTACCCAAAAATCTGTCCAATTCCGATTCCGACTCCACAGCTCTGAATGAGACCACACCAAATTTTAGGACAAAAATGTAACAAAAAAAGCGGGGGTCTTACTTTTGAGTAAATACAGTTATACAGATCCTTAATGACCAACATCTAATTACTAACAGATGGCCTTAAGAAAAGAAAACATTTAGAGCAAAATCTTGATTTCAAATCTCTACATTGTAATTAAAAGCAGTTTAATGAATTCTGACAATATTATTTTCCTTAAAACAAAGATAATGATAGAAGTATTCATAATTTTTTAGTAATTTCTGATTATCTGCATCCCTAATGAAAAGTTACAAACTCATTTCTAATGTTAGAGAGAGGCGTTTGTTCGGGTATCTTTGCGTCTATTACAATGATGTATCTGCTGCAGCCTATTTCTATTAATATTCTTCTTTTTCCATACATGATGAATAAACTTCTTGTTTTTGTTCGCTGTTGCTCTCCTCACATACACAGCAATCTATTTCTTTCTAAATAAAAACAGAGAATTGCAAAACTTGGCATTGCCCACAACACCAAAAATCCTAAAATAAGTATTAAAAAAAAAATCAGGCATTCCTACAAGCCACTTCAGCTTACAAACAGTTTCAGCCTTCAGAGAAACATTCTATTTTTGGTAAACGGAAGATAACTGCTTTAACCCTTTGGATTTTGCCCGCCCCCCCTTTTTTTTTGTCATGAAGACCTGTTTTGAAGAGACTTTATTAGATAAATATTTACCTATTTTAGTCTCTATTTTCATAAACTTACATTCACCAAGATAGCATTTACATTAGCAATGAAAAATAACTTAAATTATAAACTAATATATAACAAGTGACAAAAAATATCATGACTGGATAAAGCCGGTCATGGCGCTCAGAGGGTTAAGTTACACTCGCCAGATTAAAATTTATTTGATATTAAGAACTTAATTTTGCCGGGAGTTTTGAAGTTAAAGATTCTACACAACGTGCTGAGTACCACATTGGAAATGCAACCGTTCTCACAGAAATATGGTGGATATCCAATAACTCTTTAATGCATTTGCCTATGTCTCACATTGGCGGTCTTCTATTTTGCGTTATTTTATTTCTAATGCCCGTCCGAGATCCATTCTAGTAAAATTAGATAGGCTAGATTATAATTAAAGTTATTTACATAGGCAGCACCACTATGCAGCATTTTTCTAGTGTAAACCACATGGTGCATTTTGATGATTAGCTTATAAGTTTGATAAGAATTCTTTGTTATAAAGCAGTTGTTTGATGTAGAAAAAATAACATATCCATTTTTATTGTGTGAGTGATGGAAGAAAATCTAAAGATCATGACGACAAGATTTTGGCTGTAGCAAGAAACTGTATTGAAGTTATTTTTTGCAACAGAAATTACAAAAAATAATTTACACTATACCTATATATTTATTTTCTGCCCCCCCCCAAAAAAAACAAAAAAAAAAAAAAAAAAAAAAAAAAAAAAAAAAAAAAAAAAAAAAAAAAAAAAAAAAAACCCACCATCTTGTGCTTTAAGGGGTTAATAAAAATAATGACTTTTTCTTTGGGGGGGGTCCATGTTGCATGCTAACTGCAATGATTTATACTGCAATCTATTCTAATGTAAACTGTTCAACGAGTCATAAAAACAGCTCTTTTAATGGTTGTGCCTACTTTTGTTTTGTAAAACTGAAGGGAATTTATATTTAATGGAATTAAAAATTTAATAGACTATTAAATTAATAGGAACATTTTCATTAACGTATTCTTTATTATTTTCATATTAATAAATAGAATTTTAGAGGCATCATCTAAGAAATAACTACCCTGAAATGGTACATTACATATAACACCATTACCAAAATTTTCTATTCCACATAAAATATGGAATACATATAAATAATGTATGTATATATATAAAAAAGACGTACAAAGCATTTTTATATCCAAATTTAATTTGACAAAGCATGAAATAAATTTTCTGAGCTAATTAAAAATGTCTACTCCCAACACAAACACACACATACAAAATATATATATAATACAATTTTCTTTTCCAAGTGGGCTTCGAGATTCACTATTTTTCATACTAGTATATCTTACTACAAAAATTATTATACATATGAGAACATGTAAATTAAAAAAATACCTGGCTACATGTTGCTTCAAACTCAAGTGGGCTGGAATAAATATCAATACTGGTTCCATAAAGTGATATGTGAGAGCAATCCTTGTTAGCACATAGTTCTCTGCATATGAAGAGAAGTTTAAAGTTAAGTACATAATGATAAATTATAGCTTTTTTAAATTTCTTACAAAAATAAATACTGCATCAGTAATATGGAAATTATTAATAATGGTTCTTACTAGTTAGAGGACAGTAATTTCAGAGTAATCTAGTTTTACAGTTACAACTCAAATAAAGCACTCTTATTTTTTTCTTTTTGGGGTGCTTTTCTTTTAGCCAGGATAAAATGAATCATAACAGTTAGAAAAACGATATGTGATAAACTGGTACATATGGTACCCACAATAAACTAACAGCATTGTATTTAGGTTCAGTCTGCCATTTGGCCACTTTGAAATTTCCTGTCCACTAACTGGTAAATATCATATTAATTCATTAATGATTGATGTTGCGTTTTCGCAGCATTAAAACATTTTTTTCGTCTTCTGTATAATGTTTTTTACTTTAACTTTTTTTGCATATTGTAGATAAAACTTCACTGTTTATGGGCAAAAAAGGCTGTTTCTCTCATACTAAAAATTTTGATAAAAAATAAATGTTCGTTTTGGTACATTTTTTGTAAGTTTTTCTTTTAATTTTGAGTAGATCTCATAGAAAGGACAACCAGTCAAATAATTTTATGAAAATACACCAATCTTCTAGAAACATTAGACTGTATAAAGTAGTCAAAAAGTAAGATTATTATTTTATTTTTTGTTGGTATTAGTATGAATATTTTAAAACGTTGCGAAAACACAATGTCAGTTCAAAGCAGTGTCTTTGAAGGCTTACTCAGATTTTCATAGACAGTGGTATTTTCTTCTAGAGATGCACAAAATAATGAATATCCGAGATGATAGTTTTAACGTTGAATGAAGCATTATAATTTATGAAGGAGTAGATAAAACTGAAAAACCTGCCAAGGTTCATTTCTATTAAAATATTTTAAATGCTGTATGAGGTTTTTTTCAACACATCCTTTCTAAGAGCAAATGTTGTTTTATTTTGGTAGACTAAAACTAAACTCAGTGGCAGTGGCGTAGCTAAGGTTTTCAGCGCCCGGGGACACCTAAAGATTTTGCGCCCCTTTCTGTGTTCCAATAATGGAAAATATTTTATTCTGTAATGTGTATCATCAATTTGGCACCCCCTGGATACTGCGCCTGGGGACGGATGTCCCCCTTTGCCCCACCCTAGCTACGCCACTGCTCAGTGGTGTAACAGCCCTAATGGGCCAAGGCCTGCAGTGCCTGAAAATCTGCTTTCTTGACCATGGGCCCCGGGGTGCGTAAGCATATGTTCTGAACAAGTGGTCAGCTTGTCGCATGATCTCCAGTGTTTAACTCCCAAGCAAACTTGGTACTCATTTTACCGACCCAAGTGATGGAAATCAAGGGATGAAAGGCTGAATCGACCTTACCCAACCTGGGAATCGAGCCCCTGACCTCTGGTGCTGCTGCGCGATGCGCTAGCCACTGTGCCACCGGGCCTCATTTTGGTACACATTCAAGCAAAATTCCTCAAAGGAAAACCAGTTCATTTCAAATAGAAAGTTTCGTACTTTGTGTTCCTATGAAGAGCTTCTATATCATTTTGATATATATTCAGGAAAATCTTCAAAGATGTAGACTGATCCTGGACTATGTAAAGATGTAATAGATCTTTTAAGAGTAGGGAAAGTTTCTTCAAATCATGACAAATATTTCAAAAACTTTTTTACGTCACACTTGTTGTTGTCAGAATTGAATGAGTTCATGTGGCTAGAGCAATTCTTGAGTACAGATTGGGAAATGGTACTATTAGATCTGAAAACAAAAAGGAAAAAAAAAAAAAAAAAAAAACCGCAGAACATATGACACCACATTTGATAAAGAGCATGGCATTGCAGCAATTCAAAGGAACAACAATTCCGTCACAGCTGTGATATTAACTTTCATACAATTTATCCACCTTTAGTGACCAAGAGGTACTCAAAAAAAAAAAAAAAAAAAAAAAAAAAAAAAAAAAAAAAAAAAAAAAAAAAAAAAAAAAAAACCTGTATTTGTAAAGTAGCCTAAACTTATCAGAAATTACAACAAATGCATGGATGGCGTGGACAACTTTATTGCGATATATATAGAGTGCAAGTAAAAAGTAAGAAATGGTAGTGGAAAATTTTTACAAATTTTATTAATGTAGTTAAATAAAATACATGGAAAAAAAAAAAAAAAGTAATGTCAGATACACAAAATTAAGGACCTTTTGCTGATTTTGACTGAAATTAAGGATTTTTAAGGACCAAAAATTGTTTCCAAAAACGTAAGGACTTTTAAGTACTTTTAAGGACTGTATGAACTCGTAACATCTTTAATTTCTTAAGAAATATCCTTGATTGATGCAATACTGGGGGTGTTATAAGTGCCCTACAATATTAAATACACTGCTTACATTTTAAATAATACAAGATATAGCTAAGTGAAGCAAAAGGTTATTCAAGCAGAAGTTAGAAAAAAAAGAGCAAGCATGTAAAGCAACTGAAGTATTTACAGCACCGAAATCATTTGTTTGAATCCTGAACAGCAAATGGACAAAAGCTCTTCCATTGCGAATGACTACAAAAAAGTGACGCAGAACAGGGCCTCTGAAGTGGTTGTTCTTAAATTAAAATTAGGAATTAAAGGTCTATTGCCAATTAAGTTAGTAACTACCAGTATCTTTCGTATTTTACATACATATAAAGAGATTTCTATCAATCATGGTGGTAAACTGACAAAAGAAAATACAAATTAAAATCAGGGGGGAATAAATAATAAGATAACAAATATTCTTCGGGTTTTTTTAAGGAACAGCCAAAAAATTTTCAACTAAGCCATGTTTTTAAATTATATCTGGATGATTATAGAAAAAAATTCATGAAATAAATCAAAAATGAGTGTTAAAAACAAATTTTAAAAAAGCTAAAAATCTGAAAGCTTTCAGATTTTACATTACACCCAAAAAAGCTTTTTTTTTTTTTTTTTTTTTTTTTTTTTTTTTTTTTTTTTTTTTTTTTTTTTTTTTTTACGTTTTGTGTGTTACCTTTATGTATTAAATATCATGTTCTTCACACCTAAACCATAAAATTCAATTCAACAGCAATATCACAAAATATTTAAAAGAGCATATCTTCAGAATTTCAAATACACAGTCTCACACACTGGATATAATTCCCCCCCCCCCATACAGTGTTGCCATTGCTCACTTTGAAATCGTCGAGTTTCTTAATCAAAAACTCATAAATGCTTTACAGATTATGAAATAGATAATAAAACAAATTCCAAATTCAGGCTTCCAGATGGCCATATTCGGGTGGAGACGTACGTTATTCAAAATTTGATGGCTCTAGGTACCGCTGTTTTATCACAATGCAAGAAAAATACATACAGTTATGCAGATTCTTCATTATTTAATTTCTTAATAATGAAGATTTTTAAATATAGATTTAAAATATTTCATAAATATAATACAGGGTTCTAATATTTGGTGGCAACAATTTAAAAAGCGATTCGTCGCTTATAGTAAATTAACACAAAAAGCCAAAACAAAATTAATAGATTTTCTGAGCTAATGCTCTTAATTAAAATTTACGTTACAAGGCCTTTAATTTTTAGATCATTTTAATCGAATTAAAGTATTAATTTAAAAAATTTCAAATCAATCATTAAGATATAATCTGCTCTGATGTGATCTTAAAAAAATAATAACATACATGAATTAAATAGTAAAAAACAAGAATTTTTTTAATTAAAATTCAGAAAAGATACTTTATTTTTATCTGCCCAAAAATCTGGCAATCATATCTTGTTACGTTTTGGCTATATCTTATAACACATGTCCTATCTATCAGCATTTATTTGGATAAAGAAGCAAGCAGTAGAAATTATTCTGATTGCATTATAGAGGCAATAGGCAAACAGTTTCCACTTAAACAAACACTAATTGACATGAGCAATATCCCTTCTACTTTTTTTAATTAAATTTATTTTTCTCATTGTCTTATCATTAATTATTATACGTTATTATATAATATTATTTCGTCTTATTTTAAGATATTGTAAACAGATAAAGGAAAAGTACCAATTAAAAAGCAATTTAAGTAAATTAATAAACTTCCTTATTTTTAACACTAACGTTTTCATGAATTCTTTTCAATAATCATTCAGACATAATTCAGAAACATGGCTGCTTTTTTTAGGGAAGGGCTACTCCTTGAGAAAGACCAGTTGTTTTTATATCTGAATTTTTCTTTTTGAATATATTGGGCACAAAGTGTTCTGGAATTTAAAATTAATGTCTGGTATCATTATAATTATTCTTCTATGTATAATAGGTACACGTATTTTATTTTACTTATTAGCAAGCAAGTAGTTTCAGAAAGTAAGATTCAAATATTGTTTAAATATAAGTCTTCATATTCTTCCCATTGTTAGTGAAATTATAAAAAAAAAAAAAAAAAAAAAAAAAAAAAAAAAAAAAAAAGACTTTTGTTTTATTTATTTACTTATTTATTTCAGAAATTGTGCTAAATTTTGCTTTTTAGAGATTCTAAATAATTTACTTCTTTATTGTGAAAGATTAGTATGAAAGTAAGCACAGTAGAACTCTGACAGTCCATCCATTTCTTGATTGGTTTTGGTTTAGTTTTTTATAACAAAGCAGCACACTAAGGCTATCTCCCTAAAGGAAGGGATGCCTTTGTGCAAGATTTTTTAACCCTTAGCGGCACAGTGTGTCCGGTCTGAACACACCTAAAAATTTCCTTCTGTACGCACAGAAAAACTGAATGAAAAAGGATTTATAGATTACTATAGGTTACTCTGAACCTTCTTTATTTATAGTAGATGGCAGCTCAACACAGACCAGTCCATATATTTAAAGCCCATGTTTTAGTTTTAGTTTTTAAGACCCTCATTATGCAAAGAATCTTCCAGATTTTTTTTAGGGTATAAAAAGGAAATTGTTTAAAAAGAAATTCTATTGTTATTTTTTGGTTGTATGCTATCT